GAATATTGCTTAAAGAGTCTTTTGAACAAGTAGGGAATCTGTTGCAATCTCCTGTTTTTCCTTGAAACCTCTTGCTACTACTCGAGATTTCTTTTCTGTGATCACCCATCTCACATGGTTGCCCCCCGCATCTTTTACCTCTTCAAATACCTTGTACTTCTTCCAGTTTTCAACCTCTGCAGCCTTGGCATTGAATAATTTGTTAACCTTAGAAGCCCCCAAGGCATCCTCCTCTTCATCAGCCTGCTGCAACTCATCCACTTGATTTTCCAGATCAATCCATTCATCTGTTCCTGTATCAATCCTGTGGATATTAAAATAATCCTTGTATTGACTGGTTGCTTTTCCAGTACACAAGAGAACTTTTGCAATAAATTGTCCACTCCCATCTTCTAGGGAACATTTTAACTGCCAATCTTTGGAACATTCACTGTGGGCACCTTCACATTTTTCCACTGTCATTGTTTTCTTCACTGTCTTTAAACCTGAGTGGTATTATCATGTTCATCTGCTTCCCTGTTAATTCTAGGGATGATTTCTTCTTGTTCATCATTTTCTTTATGGATTTCTAAAGATGTCTCTCCATTTTGCCACTCAATACTTTGAAGTCTACAAATATGCACTCTATAATAGGTACCACCATGCTTAACCAGTACCTGTTACCTGTCATGCCCAATTACAACTTCTGGGCCATACTATCTATCATTTTCTTTCTTTTGTAATTTCTTACATAGCCAGCTCCTGCCACCAGTTCACCTCAAGGTGGATCCTGATTGGCTAATACTGCTCCAATGTAGATTATCTACTAGTGCCACCATTCTCAATCTTTTTCTTCATCAACCATGCAATTGGTGAAAGGGAGATAACACAATTATCTCAACAGTTTGGTCCTTACTACACAAATTGCTTGATGAGTAATCTATATTTGTTTGTTTTGTTGTTATCATGGCTGATAATTGGATTCATCCTCTGAGCTACATTGGCATAGGTATGGCCTTTCATATATAAATCCACTATTTTTTTTGCTTCTGGGAAAATTATATATTTTCTATACATCACTTCCATGATTTCTTTCTCTCTTACACACACACACACACACACACACACACACACATATATATATATATAATTTTACAAAGGCTGGATGGTTCTCTTGACAATTAGCACATTTATTATCAAGTATATTCCGCAATATGATCTGAGTCATTTTGGTCACATTTTCTATATAGTACGTGTCCTCTACAGTTCTCCTTGTGGTGTTCATACAACTACCACTTGAAATGCCTTAAAGGATTGGGGATGTATTGTTTGACCCTCTAATTTTTATTTCCATTTGGATTGAAAATTTATTAAATGTCAAGATATATGTGTTTGTTTAAATTTGTTAATCACACCTTTTTATGTTTATCCTTCAATAGTTGGTGACCCTTTGCTTTCTTATGGCTGCATTTATTTCCTCTGGGGATAGCCATGGACAGCTCTTTATTTCTAATAATATCTCCCCTTGACATGTTTAGTCTTTCATGTGGTTAATCTTTTCATTTTAGATATGCTTTTTGCATGCTTCTTATTACTATTACTTTTTGCATGCTTCTTATTACTATTCTACTTACAAGTAGAATTTACCATTTCTCATTTTGTTTCACTACAGATTGGTCAGTGGGGTCTCTTCTAAACATTCAATTATGATGAATCTAGGGAATTCAGTTCTGGCTTCTATTTCTAAATCACAGTCAGAGAGATTCCTTTTGAGTTTTTTGTTTGAGTTTGACATGGGATTTTACCAAGGGGGTTAAACCCATTCACCTTGGTTGAGATGGGGATACATCTACTAGTATACTCACATAATGAAAGGACTTTGAACCCCTGTTAATTTTGTGCTTCAGTACCCAAAAAACTGATGCCTTAATATGAAACAGTGGTCAAAATTTCTTTTTCTTCTCGACTTGATTGACCCTCAGCCATTACCTTCTAGCACTTTCAAAATAACAAAGGGTTGGGTGTTAGATTGTCATGTGAGCCATTTGTGAGGCATTGTTGGGCTTAATTATATAAGTGCTAGTACTTAACAGGATCAGCTGATTCATCAGGTTGGGCCTCTCTGACATATGTCTAGCCCATATAAGGACCAACGAGGAGTGTTGGCTGTCACATGACCACTTGTACTTTAAGGTCAAGGACAGTTTCTGTCCACAAACATTATGGGTCACTACCTATTGCAAACAGGCAGTCTTATTGGGGAGCGGGTGTCTTGCAGATGTGCAGTTATCATATTCTACAGCCCTAGCCAATAGCACAGAAGAGCAAAATGAATGGGAACGATGGCTAAAGGTAATATTTCAAGACAAACCGAACACTTTCGTTTGTGAGAGGCCTTTTCCATCTGGCAATGAAACTGTGATTATTTGAGGAAAATATTGCAGCTTGGATTGAGAAATCAGAGAGCCAAGTTCGAATTCCAGTTGAGTTCATTACATTCACTTATGTGCTAATAACTTTGGGGAAGTTATGAATCCATCTCCCCGCCCCCAATGATGGGTAAATAGCAGGGCAGACTGTGTTCCAAAGCCTTGTATCATAAAAGGTCTAGGAGAAGGAAAACTCTGAATTCAAACTAGCCTGGTGAGGGTTTTGCTCCATTAGGCTATCTTGCCCAAGACATACCACTTCTACTATGGCTGCAGTACATGTGGTACCCCTATCACTCTCATGAGTTAAGGGACACATGATCAGGATCATCAAGTCATAGTCCTCAACCAAAACCAAGTATTACAAATAACACTTCTGCTTCTGTGTGAAATTTGCAAAATGATGAGTTTGCATAATTTCTAGAAAAAGACAAAATTATCAGTTTTAAAGATTTGAATCATAATATTGATCAACAGGATTTTGTGTTAGCCATTATATGCTATAAATCAAACAATCAGCTGTTTAACCAGCATTGATATTTTTAAATGGAAGTATTTCAGTCTTGTAATGAACATTTTTGAAAACTTGCTGGTATATATACAATTATTTTTTCTTTCAAAAAATCAAATATTACTTTTTCAGTACTAGTATCATTGAAAGAGTTGCAATTTCTGAAAAATTGTTTGTCAAAGATCCATTGAAAAAAGTGACATCAAATTTAGATGATGAACATCTGGCATTTCTTTCTCAGTTTGGAAAAATGGTAAAAGTAATGAAAGCAAAGCAAATAAAAAAAAGTGAAATCATTTACAAAGGGATACAATTTAGCTACTGAACATACATGCAATTGTTTAATTCATGTTTGCAGGTATTTACTAAGCAGTGGATTTAATTTTGTTATGCTCATTGAAATTCACCAGAGACTATTTAGAAAAGATTTTGCAAAGAAATGGAAAGATTTTGAAAGAAATAGATTGTGGCAATTAAAAAATTCCACTGAATACCACAGTTCACTGTGTATTTTTCTGTTTTATAATATTTGGTGTCAAATGAAAATTTTTGACAAAAACCTTTTCTCAGCTTCTGAAATGCATCATTTCAACATAAAAAGAAATCATGGGATTTTAAAAATATTTTTCATAAATTGTTTGTTTGATTCCACTCAGGTAACTCAAGAACCAGTACTAAAGTTTTGAAATTATTTCAATTTTATTTATAAGATAAAAATGTTTATACAATTCCCCTGTACAGTTCCCATTAAAACTACATAATCAATATTAAAAATGCATATCTTTTCAAGTAATAAAAATATGACGCTTATCATTTAGAGAAAAATTTATTGGGTAATTTTTATTTTTCACCTTTTTACATATGAATTTATTTATTCACCAAATTACCCTGTTAATTTTGTGTTCCTGTTCATTTAAATTGATATTAATTATTAAAATTATGTCTACTTGTTATAGCTATTATTTTCTTCATTTTCTGTAAAACAAAGGTTGACATTTTCAATATGTGACAATAATCACAGAATAAAATTATGTGACAATAATCACAGAATAAAATTAACAAAATTATTGCTTGTCTGAAATACATTGTTTTTCTTCAAGAATTTTCAGACTTTGTTGACACATGATTTAGTAAAAAGTTAAATTTTTTTTCTGATTGTATCATACAACTAGATTTTCTCTGTGTTTATTCAGTATAAACAAATTGACTCTTTATTTCTGTAATATCATGTAAAATGTTCCTAATTTTTTGTGCATTAAGTTAGTAAGAGGCTAGTTTTTGTTCGTTTTTTTTGTACATTTGCATTTATGGAAATAAGTTAATAATTGTTAAGTTATAAGGTGCTCCCTAATAATAGGTATAGTTACTAATTAACTAATTACTGGATACTACTAACAAGTTCCTTGCTAAAAACGTTCTCAATAATTGTTATTTAGTAGTAATTTATATTGCCAGATGTCTGCCCCTATTTGCATGGCTGCTAGAGCTCTTATAAGTATTGCCTTGGTATGTATACCTTGAGAGCAGGTAGTATTTACACAGCAGTGAATGTATGAAGCTGATGTCACGGAACTTTTATCAAAAAGCATTTTAAACAGAAGAAGCTGGCATCAGAAAGTTTGTAAATAATTTCATATGACACTTGATATTTTTTTCTGTTGGACTTGCACATAATTTTACATTTGTATTAACAGATTTCAAAAAGATTTTAATTAAAAACAATTTTTATTTATTGTCTAATCTGTTCTGTTCCTTGTTTCAGTGTCACTCATTTCCAGTCTTAAATTTCCTGATATGGGAAGAAATATATACATAAAGTGTTTACACCTTTTAATAAATTTCAGCTAAAATGTTAACTACAGTATATATAACAGATTTAACAGATTTAACTATCAAGTTATGCTAAAATAAAGTACTAAAGACACTATAAAATAATAAAGTTTAGCTCATTATGGAACAGGATTGAAATTGGTTCAAATTAATTTTTGTATTTATTTGATAAAACTGGTATTTTATTGTTCTCTACTTTCTCTACAGTAGTCCACTACATTGCACATGTGTTCAATGCTAAGAATTTTTCAATGAACTACAACAGAATTTACAAGAATGTGAATGCAGCTCGTTATCAGGATGAGGTAAGTGATTTAGCCCAGTTTCAATTAAAGTATGATTTTTCTGAATGAACATTTCAAGTAAGAAAATCTACAGAAAAATATCTTGTTTCAATCACTATTTTGAATTAAATAGCATCATTCATTAAACAATTCATGCTTTTAACTCATTTGAAGAAATCCATTTCAAATGTAGAGCAGGGATAAATAAGACACGCTGGCAATTTTTAAATGCCATTCATTTGTGTAACATTTGCACAACTCAACATCAGGCAATTAATCTTAACAGCATGTCTCAAAAGTGCAACTGTACGTAACATTTAATGAAATTCCAAACATTTAACATCTGAAAAATTAAAAAAAATAAAAATAAAACTAATGAGTTCATTAATAAACTTCTGTATTAATAAAAACAATCTTTCCAATTTGGGTTTAGTCAATTTTTTTTATTATTTCAAAAGAAAGCATACAAAAGACTTAGGTTATTCCATTACATCAGAACTATCACCCCATGAGTGTCTACACTAAAGGTAGTAACTACCTATAAGCATCTGTAAGGCAATGGACTACAGGAGTCTAGCCAAAATCTTTTTGGCTAGACAATCGAATTCTCTGCCTCTGAGCAGAGACAAACACGGAGGCTCCGCTGAAGGGCAGAGTCTCGTTCAGGGAGGTTGACCGTTATACGGGTTCTACGGGCATTTTTTGGCTGAGCCTATGGGCTCGGAGAACCCACATTAAACCCAGCCTTGTGCCACATGCAACCATTGTTGGGGTGGGTGGCTAAATATTGTCTAGCCAAAATCTTTTTTAACTATACAGTCGAATTCTCTGCCTTCGGGCAGAGAGGAACCTGGACAAGGCTCTGCCTTCGGGCAGAGAGGAACAACTTGGACAAGGCTCTGCCAAAGGGCAGAGTCTTGTCTGGGAGTATGATCCCATTTATGCAGGATCTACGAGGATTTTTTATTGAGCCTATGGGCTTGGGAACCCCACATTAAATTCGGCCTTGTGCCACATGTGACTGCGTGGGGTAGTCTAGCTGGGATCTGTTGAGTATGACTCAGACTTACACAAGAGCTACCGACCTTCGCTATTGGATTGACATGCAACAACCTTGTGCATAACTGTTACCTTTATTCTTATTGTATTGGTTTTTACAATACACCTTTACTTATTTATCCACCGTGTTGTTCAAGTATATATACCTATTAGCATGGAATATAACAGTAGCAATGAGGATTGTTGAATTGAATTCACATTCAAAAACACCAAATGCAGTGATGCCAAAACGAATTCACAAGAAGAAAATATTTGTTGGCTATACGTTTGGTTTACAGGAGTTTCGAAGTAAAATAACACCTCATGATATTATAACATTTTACAATCGGAGGAAGACATTCTGAAAAAAAATTTATCATGTAAAATCTTTAAAAGTAAGAATATTTTTGTTGTATTCTTTGTTTATTATTCTGAAATTACACAAGCAATTTCAGTTTATTGGAAGGCAAAAAGCGAAGTTTGAGTATTTTTTTTCTTGTCTGTCATTCATTTTTCTGAAAAGAATTGTCGTGTTAAAGTATGGAACAATTAACAGAGCTTACAAAACTGTTGTGCACTAGTGTTCAGCAACAACAACAGCAAATACAACAGTTGCAAAGCCAACAACAACAACAGTTTCAACTTTTTGAAAAGCAACAACAACAGCAAATACAACAGTTGCAAAACCACCACCACCACCAACAACAACAACAACTTCAATGTTTTGAAAAATTAATGACGAAAACTGGAGAACAAAACCTAGTTACTTCTCTGTAAGGTATTGCAAGTTCGTTAACAGAATTTCATTATGACCTGGACAATGGGATTACCTTCCTGGCATATCTCAGAAGATACAAACCTATATTTACAAATAGATGCCAAGACTGGTCAGATGAGGAAAAAGTCACTCTTTTATTACAAAAAAATGGGGACGGATGAAAATACAAAATACTCTAACGTAATATTACCAAAGAAACCAGAAGAAGTCTTTTTTGAAGAAACAATTAAAAACCTATCAAGGATATTCAATGAAAGAGATAGCTTGTTCCACACACATTACAAATGCCTTAATATCGTTAAGTCAGAAAATGAGGATTTTTTATCGTATGCTGGGACGGTTAATTCATTATGTAAGCTTTTCAAAATTGACAAGATTTCGAAAGATTTATTCAGATGTCTAATATTTGTTTAGGGACTAACAGCTGCCAAGGACAAGGATATCAGGTCACGGATTCTTAGTATAATTGAAAAAGATGATGAGATTACTTTGCAAAAAGTTACAGAAGAGTGCCAGCGTCTGATTAACGTAAAATGAGATAATACTCAGATAGAGGAAAAGAATGTTTTTAAAGTTCAGCAAGTAAAAGGAAAAAAAGGTCCCAAACATGAAGAACAAAGAGAAATGTGAATGTTGCAGAGGATTTAATCACACAAAAAATAATTGCTGGTATAAAAACAAGGTATGTTTTGAATGTGGCCATAAGAGACATAACAGGTCCCATTGCTATAAAAGGAAGAAAAAGTCCAGTAAAAATGTGAATGTGATTCTCTTCAGAAAGGAATTTGAGAATGGTGAGAAATGAAAGTATGTCGATACATGTATAAATGGACATACAGTAACATTTCTTTTGGATTCAGGTTCTCATATTAATATAATTGATGAACAGACATGGAGGAAAATAGGTCAACTGAAATTGAGTGACAAGAACAAGTTTATGGCCAGTGGTATTTCAGGAGAAACATTCAAATTTAAGGGTGAACTTAAGTTTCGTTTTGTGATAAGACTTTCAGGTCAAAAGTCTACGTACATAAAAGGAACAACTCCTGCTTTTTTGGCAAAGATTGGATTGTGCTATTTAATTTATGGGAATTGCCTGTAAATTCTTTTTGTAATCAGGTGAACACCTGGGAAAAGAAAAAATTAAAACAGACTGAAAAATTCATGCATGATTTGAAGGATGAATTTCCCAGAGTTTTCTCTCAAGGATTGGGTATGTGTTTGAAAACGGAAATAAAATTTGAAATAAAAGAAAATGTTACACTGATTTTTCAGACCTAAAAGGAACGTTCCATTTTCTTCATTGGATTCTATTAACAAAGAACTAGAAAGATTTGAAAAAAATAGGTGTTATTTCGAGAGTGGATCACTCAGATTGGGCATCGCTTATTGTGTATGTTAAAAAGACAAATAATAGAATTAGAGTATGTGCGGATTTTTCAACAAGTTTAAATGACAGTTACCCGCTTCCCTTATCTGAGGAGATTTTCTCAAAATTAAATGGGGGTCAAAGTATACTCTAAAATAGATTTGTCAGATGCATACTTGCAAGTCAAAGTCAATGAAGAGTGTTCCAAGTATCTGACAACACACATAAAGGATTATTTAAATTAAACCAGCTTCCTTTTGGTTTAAAGGTTGCACCTTCACTTTTTCAACAAATCATGGATACAATACTTGCAGGGTTAGAATTTGCCATTGCTTATTTGGATGACATCTTGGTGAAAAGCAAAAATATGAATGAGCATAAAAAACACATAAGGGCTATCTTCAAGAGAATAGAAGAATTCTGATTCAAAGTAAACCCTGAAAAATGTAAGTTTTTTATGGAAAAAATAAGTGTCTCGGGTAGATTGTGGATAAAGATGGCAGAAAACCAGATCCACGGAGAACTGAAGTCATAAAAAATATACCAGCCCCAGATAACGTGGCAAAATTGTAATAATTTTTAGGTTTTGAACAATACTAAGCAATATACATTCCAAAGATGTATGAATTAACAGCACTATTACACGAGTTGCTGAAAATGGGGGTTAAATGGTGTTGGTCCAAAGACTGTGAAAAAGCTTTTCAAAAAATTAAAAATTGTTTACTGACTGATTTAGCATTGGCGCACTATGATCCAGAAAAAGAAATAGTTATTGCTTCTGAGGCTAGTGAGTATGGAATTGGAGCAGTTCTACTTCACAAATATGAAGATGTTTCAACAAAACCAATTGCACACACTTCAAGGACTCTTTTGCCAGCAGAAAAGAATTACAGTCAGATCGAAAAGGAAAGCTTAGCAATCATTTTCACAGTTAAAAAATTCCATTGTTTCCTTCATGGTAGAGTGTTTACACTACAAACTGACCAAAAAAGAAAATGCATAACAAAGAGAATTTCTGTGCAAAGAAGTATATGCCTGGTGATAAAGTTTTCTTCAGGAACTACCGAGGTGGAAAATGTTTTTGGGAAGATGGAATTATTTCAAATAGAATTGGAAGAGTAATCTATACGGTGAAAGGAAAAAGATATGTATGCAAAAGGCACATAAACCAGTTTAGACCAAGATACTCTGAAATCGTTCAACAGAATGAAGAAATTCTGATGGATGTCCTGTACGACACGTTTGAAACACCACCCACTAACATACCAGATACATCTCCTACACCAGCTTTGTGCATAGGATTGAGATATTATTCACCTCAAAAGACTAAAAGGTAAAGAAAACCCACAGTGTGGTTAAGTCCAAACCTGAAAAAGAGAAAATATTAGAAAGCTAAATTTTCTAGAGGAAAATTTCAGCTTGGGGAGAGGTGATGTAATGGAATAACCTGTCACTCCCATGAGTGACTACACTATAGGTAGTAACTACCTATAAGTATCTGTAAGGCAACAGCCTACATGAGTCTAGTTGGGATCTGTTGAGTTTGACTCAGACTTACACAAGAACTACTGACCTTCCAATAGTAGCACTCACTACTGGATTGACTTGTGACGACCTTGTGCATAACTGTTACCTTTATTCTTATTGTACTGGTTTTTACAATAAACCTTTACTTATTTATCCACTGTGATGTTCAAGTATATATACCTATTAACACGGAATATAACAAGTTCCAAACATTTGTCTATGATAATTAATGGATTCCATTAACATTTGTAGTGGGACTTGTAAAAGTTTTAAATACAGTTTCGTGGAAGAATTTCTGGAGGATTAGTCAAAGTAAAATCTGCAACCATTTTCAGGGATAATAATTTTGTTAAGCACAATTACTTACAACTTTGAAATAGTGTCATTTTCATATACAGGGTAAGGCAAAAGTCATGCAACATGGGTATAATTTAATAAAAGTAGAATTACATGGGAAAAATTTTATTTATTAGTTATTTAATCGTTCTATGTGCTGTTCAAAATTTCATCCTGCTTTTTCAGAACACATTTCAATTTTGTACTTGTATGATTCATTAACATTTTGGAGAGTTTCCTCTATCATTTTACGGCATTCATATTGAATTCTTTCTTTAAGTTCCTTAATATTTTGGGGGTGCATCTGATAAACAACTGATTTCAAATGGCTCAACAGAAAAAACTCTAGGGTGTGAAGTCTGGTGACCTCAGTCACCACTCAGCAGGACCTCTTTGACCTATTCATTAACATATATTGTGTGCGACTTTTGCCTCATACTGTACATAAGAAATCCATATTGCAATTCTATAGAAAATATGACTAAGGAGATTGTAATATGATTTCAAAACTCTTTCCTCCAGATAAGAAAAGGAAAATGAACTTTGACCCAGATGGTTCAAGCTCCAAAAAGTTATTCATAGACATTTTTTTTAAATTACTAGTAACACCATCTTAGGTACTTTTATGACTAGGAAATGAAATTGCAAATTTACTGATGAAATGTCATTGCAGTAATGAAAGCTCCATAACTCAAAGCAAACATCAGTTGCTGTTTGGTAGGCACATCTGCTTTACGTTCATCTATAAAAATCTAAAAATGGACATATTTAACTGAAGATATAGAGAATACTTCTGCTTCACAGGGTAGACTTTTATTGAATACCATGACATTAACAGATGGGTTTGGTCATAGTATAAAATCTGCTAAATTTTGTGGAACAGTTTTGTCAAGTTAGAATTATGAGAAGTAAAAATTACCTAAATTTATTTTTGGACCAATTTATGTAATTATCTATTCAAATTGATTTAGAGCATATTTTTATATTATATGCATTTGTCATTTAGGATTGAAGATTGATTTTAATTTTACAAATTGGTAACATTTGAGTGAACCTAGGACTTCAATGTATTTGTTTCCATGACTAATCAAGCTAATTCTAATGAAAACATTTGGGTAACAAAGTCTTAAAACTGGAAATTATTTACAGCTTCAAATAGTAGCCACCAAAATTTTGTAAAATTGTTTGATATGTCAGGATGACCCTTGTACATTTGTATTAATTTTTTTTACACTTCTTACAGATAAATATATATTTAAGTTTCTAATTTTTATTTTTCAGGATCCTATTTGGATTGTTTTAGGAACAGGTAAGAAAATCATAGACTAGCCAAATGTCATTTAGCATTTTAGATTGGTGAGTTTCAATTTTTTTTCAATAGGTTTGTTTTTAACCAATTATTTAATTTGGAAAGCTGTTTTTTATTGTAGCCAGAGTAAGAAAAGAAAAAGAATTTCTTAGATTTAAATTAAACCATGAATTCTTTTTCATTAAGTAAGAAGAAATTTAATGTTTAATTCAGCATAGATAATAAGTTTTCATCAATAGACCAGGCTACACAATGAAAGGTATAAAAATGCCAATAAATTATTGATCATTTTTATCCATGTTTGTTGTGGGTTTCTAGTCCGAATTTGCCAGCTATCTCCCTTTTCCTCTCCCTGCTTATTTTGGCATCCAGGTCTCCCATGATAATTATGACTTCTTGTGATTTGCAATGAGCCTTGGCATTGTCTAGCATGGAGTAGAAAGATTTGATTTCTTCTTCCTTACTTTCTGCTGTGTGACTGATACAGATTTGAGATCGTCTCCAAAATTCTAGAGTTTGATTTATTGTTAGTTTTTTTTCATGGGTATTATTGATGTTGTTTCCAGTTTTTTTATGTTTTTTTTTGTTAGTTTGCTTTATTCTTAATTTGAAATCTGAATTTATGCATTCCAAATGATTCTGAACAATTTGCAGAAATTTCTTGCATTTTCTTCATTCCAGTTCCTGGGGCCACTGGTTTGATGATGATGATTATCTTATGTTTGGTAGTGACCAGCAGCATCAAGTATAACAGGTAAAATATATTAAGCACAACATTTATGCATTTAACTTCAGGAATTTGCAAAATATTGCATGGTCCTAAAATCATTTGCATTACAGAAGTATTTCCATTCTGATTTTAAATTCACTTAACAACTAAGTATATAAAGCAATAATTTTATTCATGTCTTAGAATGACTACTTGGTAAAGCAATGGGAAAAGGTCTAACTTGTAAAGATACTGAGAAAATAAAATGCCAGATGCTAGGCAAATCTCTCAAAGTGAACAACTTTGGTAGTTTTCTGATCATTGTCAGTTTGTTCTTGCTTCCAAACCTATGTTAAAATCTATCAGTAAAGTTGTTCTTCCCCCTATGTTGATTTGGTAATATCAGTGAAGATGCTGAATATGTAGGCAAAACTAATCAGAGTTTGGAATAATAGCTGGTAAAGAGGACAATCTGAAAATTTGAATGTTTGTCAATGCATCCAAGTCTGCAACTGCATATTTGTGCTTTGTTTTTCCTTAATTGTCAGCAGAGCAAATTCAGATTACCATTTGAAAGTTCTTGAGACTCTGTATATGAAGTTTAAGTAGCCCTCTCTCTGTAAGCAGAAGGACTGGTTATTAAGTTTCAGTGTTATATGATTAGTATTGCTGATCATCTCTGGTCATTCTTTTCCCTGATTATATATTATATTTTACTTGTGCACAAATTTATTAACCTTTTTCCTCAGTGGAGCTAAAAAGATTGAGGAACAATAGCTGATGAACCATTTTTTAAAATAATTTTTTGATTCAACATTAAATATTGTTGCTTTTCTTTCCTTCTTGATTTAATATATTTGTATATATTACAAGGTCTGTCTGAAAAGTAATGGGACTGGTGTCACAAATAATCATTTCAATTTCAAATGACAAGTCAAATAGTCTAATGCACTTTTCCATCCTTCTCTGCCACACTTCTATGCAATACTGGAAGGATTCTTCTTGGATGCCACTCTGCTCCCTGTTACAGCTCTCTTGATGGCCGCCACACCTTCAAAACAAGCCTCTTGATGATTCCCTTGAGCTTGAGGAAAAGAAAAAAGTCTGATAGAGCAAGATCAGATGACTAGGGAGGTTTTTCTAGTACAGCTATATTCTTCGTGGACAGGAACTACCGGATGCTCAGGGCATTGTGAGCAGGTGCATTGTTGTGGTGAAGCAGCCCTGATTTGTCCTGCTACAACTCTCATCTCTTCTCACACACTGAGTAAAGCAAACACTGCAGAATCTCTTTATAGACTTGCTGATTGATTGTCTTGGCTCTGTTGCAAGAATTCACTGCAGATGGTGCTCATATCAAAGAACAGATAAGGCCTGTTTACTTTTCAGACAGACCTATGTATTAATATATCATTTAATCTGTGTCTTTAAAGCTATAGAAAATGCTAAAGCTTTTATAGAATAAAAGTCATTTCAAAGTTGTAGATTAATGCTAATGTTATTGAATTTTTTTTACAGAGAAAATAATTACAACTTATTTTGGTACAGTCACAAACTGGTTGCACTAATGTATATTTTGCTCCTGGTGCATGCATTCCGGTAAGTAACAGACTTAATGATTAGTGAAGAAATATTTAAATTTAATCAATAACTTTTAAGCTTGAAGAACACTTTCAGTAAGTACTTTCTGTTTTTGTCATATAACATGCAGAATTGGACATCATGATAATTTCAGAACATAGTTTGAATGTCTTGTTTGAATGTTCAATATTGGTAGTTCATTTTAAACCTTAAAAGATTTTCACTTACTAAATGTGAAAATTAATCTATTTGCAGAGGCCCATTAAGGAAACAGCTGAATATTGTTCACCACACACCAGGCTGTAATTTTCAAAACTTGTCCTTTCCTTGGCCAGAGCCAGAATTCTACCATTCCCCTAAATCTTATAGCTGTGATGAAGAGCCAAAATTTGGAGAAATTGGTTGTGAGGTAAGTAGGTATTGAAACAAGTTGCTTAGTTTTGTTTTTGAATATGGAATATTTTTTGTCCTCTTATCCAATTAAAACCTACCTGATTCTTAATGTATAGGTTTGGTAAAGGAAACAAAACTGAAATAGCCCAAATTTTATCAGCTAAATATTTAATGAAATATAAACTGGAAGTGTTATATGGAGTCAAGATGAAAAAAAAAGTTGTTGAGGAAGCAGGCATGCTTAAAAGGAATTGATAAAATTCTCAATAAGAAGAATAACAGGGAAAATAATACAAGACAAGACAATGGAAAGCAATGTAAATATAAGACGGTAACAAATGAAAAAGTTCACTAAAGAGAAAATAGTGTTCATATGCAGAAAGAATACAGACAAGTGGACTTTTAACTTCAAGGCAGTTTAATTTGACTTTTTGATGCAGAACTTTCATTTATTTGCATTACTTTTGTTTTTGTCTTTTTGTCATTTTTTTGTTATACTTACTTTTTGTTTGTTTTGAACTCCTGTTTTTCCTTGTTTCCTTTCTTTTTTTCTGTTTTTAAAAACTGTTTGTCCTTGCCAGAAATGTAATTTTTTGCACAAGCTAGCCAATGAATCCATCAAACAGATCTGTGAGTCCATCAAAAAGATCTTCTGGACAAGAGATGGGTTATATGGAGTCAAGATTCCTTTTAAGCATGCCTGCTTCCTCAACAACTTTTTTTTTCATCTTGACTCCATATAACACTTCATCCAAAAAGGACAAAGGAAAAGGCAGTGAAAGAGATCTTCAAGCCAACTACTCCTTTGAAGTGTTAAAGGCACAAGAGGCAAATAATTCCCAAATTATGATCAGAGAAAAAGTAGATACTCTAAACAGGAATACTGCTGAAACAAGAAGGATGAGACTGGGGTAGCTACTGGGGGTCACCCTCTATTTGGAAGTCACTCCCAAAATTAAAATCAATGTAGATAACTAAGAAGTACACTCATCTTATTACAGATGGCGGGCTCTTGGTAGGCCTCAAGGTGCAAAAGTGTATTGAAAGAAGGACAGTGTCAGTTTTTTGGTGGAGATTCGTATGCACAAAATTTGTTGCTCCACAAAGACACAGTGTTAAGTGAGTACATTCAGCTAAAATGTGTACATGTTGGTTCTTCAGCAAGTATGACTGAGGTATATGTGACCTTTGTGCAGCTGAGCCAACATTACCCTGAACCAGTTTGGTTGTATGAGGCTTGTTATTTTCATTGTCGGACCATCTCTTTTGAATTGAATGTAACATTGAAGATTTGAAGTGGAAGTTTGTCCCATCTAAGTTTTGGTGGTGGTTTGTTTGCTTCTTCATACACAATTTTTACAGATGTTGTAAATGATTCAAGTGCTCATTTCAAACCTTAATGGAAGGTTGGATTGAAAATTTTGTCTTGATTTCCTTGCTGATTGGTATATGCCATTTCCATTGTCCAGCTTGGATCGAATTAATGTTCTGTATAATTTGAGCAGCTTTTTACTGGTCTTCTTCCCAATTTTTGTGGGCCACCATTCTCAAAAGTTGTAATGTTTTATTATATTTTTTTCACAGATATTTTAGATGTGGTATGAATGTTAGTTTCTTGTTGAGAATTATTCCCAAGAACTTGTACTGGGGATTTCTGTCCATTTGAGTTGCAATGTTAGATCATTATGCAGTTTCTTTTTATTACAAAAATACATGCATTATGTTTTGGATATTTATTGCCTATCTGTTGATCTTATTTATGCATTGCTGCAGATTCTTTTCTATGGTATGCCTATTTTTGGATTGGTAATGTACAGGAAAAGTCATCTATGTACAAAATCCATTGATAGCATGAGTGAGTTCTTTTGAAATGTTATTTATTTTAATACTGAACAGAGTGACTAACAATATACGACCCCATGGTACTACTTATTCTTGGGTTTTTGGGATCAGAGAGAATAGATCCAATGCAGACATGAAGGGTTCTATTTGAAAGAAATTTCTTAATGAATTCTGGTAGCCTACCTACTAAGGTCCTGTAGATCTTGCAGGATCTCATATTTCCAGGTAATTTTGTATGCCTTTTTAAAGTCAAAGAATACAATAGCCATATGCTCTTTTCTTAAAAATGCTTCTCTTATAAAACTTTCCAAGCAAACCAGGTGGTCAATTGTACTCCCTGTTTTTTGCAAGATCCACATTATAAGTTAGTCATTAATTTGGTGGATTCCAAGTACCAAACTAAGCTATCATTGACCATTCTCTCCAAAGTTTTACATAAATAGCTTATAAGAGAAATCAATCTATAATTTCCAGGGTCTGAACTGTCTTTTTCTGGTTTAGGAATTGGTAGAACAATTGTTTACTGCCATTCTTCTAGGAACTTGCCCTATAGCTGAATTATGCAAACTTTTAATGGAGTCTTTTAGTTCTGTCTGAGAGAATCAGTTGTTGTAATCTTCCAGGATTTTTGTTTTGAATTTTAATTTGTATTTTTCTGCATTTTGTTTTGTAGATTAGGATTTTTGTTTCCATTTTTTAAAATATTTTGAGAATGTTTTAGCAAATATATTTGTTATAGTCTTTTTTCTGGTATCTTGCTATTATTTATTGAGAGATTTTTTACTGGTATAAATTAATGTTTTCCAGGTATTTTTCTCATAATTTCCCAAACTGTTTTTGGATTTGTAGCAGAATTTAGTTTGCTAACACATTTTTACCAGCAATTTTTGTAGTGCTGCTATAGAATCTTATTATCTCTTTACACCAATCATTAAACCAGGCTCTGTTTCTTCTGCCTGGTGTAGAGTTTTTGGGGATGCATTCTTTTGCTATGGCTGTTAAGGCTTCTGTGAAAGTTTTTGCCATTTCTATATTATTTTGAGTTAATTTGCTTTGACATAAATTCCTAAATTTTTCCCAGTTGGCTTTACTTAGCCTCCATCCAAGTGGTTACTCATTGATCTCCTCACTGTTCCTCAGGATGATGGGGAAAATAATCGCTACTGCCTGTATCATTGTAAACACTCCAGGTAAAGTCCATGTAAATTGCTGGATTACACAGGGCTAGGTCAGTTGCTGATAGGCTACCATTCATTTGATTGATGTGTCTATCTCTTCCCTGGTTGAGCAGATATAACTCATTATCCATACTGAATTTTTTTCATAATTTTCCCTTTTCTGTTTGTTTTCTTGTCTCCCCCAGATGGTATTGTGGCTATTAAAATCCGCTAAGAGAATGAATGATTTGCGTAATTGTTTTATCAGATCTTCCATCATGTCTTGTTCTATCTGGTCCTGTGGTGGGATATACAGTGAGCATAAATTGACTGTTCTCTGTAAAATAGCTCTCATGGCAGTTGCCTGCAATTTTGTTCCAGGATACATCATTTTTTAAGATGGTTACTTTCCAGATCCCGTTGCCTAGTGCTGTTGAATATGACTGTATTCTCGGTAGTTTTTAATATTAACATTATCTTTTCTTGATAAAAATAACTGCAGCATCCAATGTTGTTATTAGCATGAGAAATTCATTTAGTCCATTGTAGTATTTTATATTCAATGTTTGTATTTTTATTTGGTTTTTACACGTTTTTAATGTTTTTGTTTTTGTTTGAAAGTTTTTTGGTGGTGTATCATCCATCCTCTCTAGTACTTCAAATTTTTTTGTTGGTTAGTCATATTTTTTTTTGGTGGGGGACTTTCCAGAGAGGTGTATTTTTGAGATTTGGTGGAAGGATTAGTGATCTTTGTGATTTTTGTCTACTAGTGTTTCTTCGGGTGGAGATTTTCTGTTTTTGTACAGGCAATCCCTGAACCACATCATATGGGTTTGAAATGGACTCTTGCAATTTACTTACTATTTTTGTTTGGCAGCTTTTAGCTGTGCATGTTCTTTTTTGTTCCTGGAATTTTGGTCAGTCATTTGGTCCTCACTGCATCAACTTCTTGATGAGTGCTGTATATTTATCTATTTGTTGTTATTATTACTATTAATTGGGTTTGTTTTCTGAACTACATTTGCATATGTATGGCCTTTCATAGAGGAATCAAATATTTTCCTTGCTTCTGCAAAAAGTTACATCACTTCTATGCTTCATTACCTTTCTTATAATATGGGGATTTCACAAAGGCTGGATGGTTCTATTGACAATTGGATATCATGAGATCTTCCTCTGTATGATCTGGGTCTTTTGACCACATTTTTTACATATTGGTGGATTCTGCAACTCTCCTTGTGGTGCCTATACAACTGACACTTGAAATGCCTCAAGGGATTGGAGATGTATTGTTAGACCCTCTCAATCATAAAACCAATTTTTATTTCCTTTGGGATTGAGGGTTTATTAAATGTTAAGATATATGTATGTGTTAGGATTTTTTGATTTCCCCTTTTTATACTTATCCTTATACAGTTAGTAACTCCTTGCTTTCCCAAGGCTGCATCTATTGCTTCTGGCATAGCCAGGAACAACTCCCTATTTCTAATAACTGTCTTTGATGTGTTCAGTCTTTGATGTGGATGCACTTTATACTTTAAATTATGGAAAGCCTTCATTTTTAATGTTATCAGTGTTTGTTTTATTATTGAAGTCAACATGTTAATTGCTACTTCTCATTTTTTTTTACTTTTCATGTAGTTGCTCTGCTCGTAATTACTTTTACAATAAAAAATGTTGACAAATTGGCCAGAGGAGTTTACTCCAGAGATTCGATCACTATAAATCTTAAGAAATCTGTTCTAGTTTCTATTTCTGAATCAAAGAGATTTCTTTTGGTTTATTTTTTTTATTGATATTTGCCATTTGATTTTTTTTCATTAGGCTTGTGTTCCACCACTCACCACAGAGTCCAAGGAGGTTAAATTACTTTGCCTTGGTTGAGATGGGGATACATCTACCAGTATGTTCTCACTGAGCATATACTTTGAGCCCTTCTTAATTTTCAGCTTCAATACCCAAAAAATCTGACATCTTAATTTGAAACAGTGGCCAGTTACTTTTTCTCCAACTTGATTGACCTTCAACCACTACCTTCTAGCACTTTTAAAAATAATAATTGTGTGGTTGTGTATTTGACCCTTATGTAATCATTTTGTTGGGCTTGATTACATAGGTACTAGGGCTTGACATGACCAGCTGATTGATCGGACCGAGCCCTCTCTGTCTAGCCCAAGTAAGGACCAAAGAGGAGTCTTGCCTGTCATATGACCACTTATACACCTAGGTCATGAACTGCTCATCTTCCAGTTTTCCATCACCAGCCACTATGGGTCACAACCCAGGGCAAACAGCTGGCCTCATTAGGGATGGGTTTACCCCTCTGCTGAGGTGCAGTTAGTGTATTCTACAACCCAAGCTGACAGGGCATTGATTTGTTTTACAGCTTATTAACAATTTGGGGGTTATTTAAAGCCAAAACATTTTTGAATTGTATAAGAAAAATTCTTTTCCAAATTAATATTAACAATTTTGGGAATAATGTATATAACACTTATTTTCCAGATACAGCTTATATAAAAAAAATCTCACTTGGCTCATTATTTTCAAACAAATCCTTTAGGTTCTGCAGTACTTGGTGCGTGTTTGATGGAATTCATTACAGATTATCAATACATGCATAATTGTGTATGTTTCCTCACATGGTATGCACAATGGTGGTCCTTCATTTTGGTGGCTGGCATGTGTTCTATACAATGTCTAGCTCAAACTACCTCCTTATCTGTCTGTAGTCTGAGTGCCATTCCCAGAGGCTTGGTTTGATTGAATTTGTTGTCCTGATAGTTATTCCAGAACCTGAGAAATCAGGGTTGAGTTTGAATTCCAATTAAGTACATTACATTTGCATATGTACCCTTCAGAAATATATGCATCCATCTCTTCTTCCTCCAGCTATGGGTTAAACAGCAGGGCAGACTGAGTTCTCTAGCTCTAGTTGGAACCAGTCTAGGAGAAGGACAATTGAATTCAAAACTAACAATTAATGCCAACTGTCAGTAATCAATACAAAAAATAGTATGCAAAAACTAACTAATAAAATAAAAGTTACTAAACTATGTTTATTTTATACACAATTGCCATTGTGCATTTTGTAGATAAAATACTTATATTAAATGGGTCTCAACATTTATGCAGATTGAGTTTATTAATGTTGAGAAAGCTCAGAAAAAAATCATCTGAAGTTAAATGGTATGATTTTTGCATTTAATGGTATGATTTTGTTTAATGGCACATCAACTACTATGTGATATTTAATGCTGAAATCTAAACATTTGGAACACAATCTTATGACTTCAACTACAGATAAAATATATTGTTGGTCATTTTGGTATAAATAGGTACTTTTGGTAATTTTTTTATATAAAAATGTGTTGCTGGTATTTTTACTATAAATTACTATAATTTTTGTACTTTCATAATTTTGTTTTTGTTTGTGAGTTCACTATTTACCCATAGCTGGGACCCTAACAAGTGCTACCACTCTCGGTCAGGGTGAACCTGGGGACAAAAGCAATTAAGAGGTGATTCCATGCTCCTCTAAACCTGATCAGAGTCCTTGCTGCTGGATGTAGTTTATCGTGATACCCAGGACTAATGTTTAATACTTTGTACATTAAAAAAAACAATAATTTTTTTATGAAAGATTTAAGAAACATGTTTTATAAAACCATTCTAACAGTAAAATATCCACAAAACGCTCCTTGTTATCCAAAGTCATCCACTAAATGATGTCTTGATCGCAAGAATTTGTTTATTTGTTTAGCTTTACCTTTAAAAACTTATTACTGATGCATTTTCTAAAAAGAAAAGATATTCAGCCATCTTGATCTGTCCTAATATGTTTCTTTTTGTTCTTCAGTCTTATGTTTGGGTGAGTGTACCACTGATTATTTATCTGGGTGATGTTATGTACAGAATGATACGGAGATCAAACTCTGCCCAGATCGTTGGAAGCGTCTGCCATGCAGATAATGTTATAGAACTAAAAATGATTAAAGATGGCTTTAAAGCAGATCCAGGACAGGTAGGTAAATTTACATATATTAAAAAAAATCATTAAATCAGTATGTACCATTTATAAGAAATCAGAAATTTTCATCTAGGAAGAGATGCAAGGTGCTGCAGACAAAGTTTTCATTGGTCAGACAAGATGTTTTCCCCTGTGAAGGCTTATAAAAATATACTAATATTCAAGTGACAGTTTTATACTTGAATTTTTATTTATCTGTCAAATAATGAAGTGTCAGAGTCACCAGAATGGTGAAATGTCTGGGTCTTCAATATTTTAACTTATTCTCAGTTATATATTCATGCCTTTCATCATTCAAAAAAATAACATTTCCTCAATGGACCAACTTAAAAAAAATTGTTTGGAAGCAGACAAAAATATCCAAATTTTAAATAAAGTAAACAAAAAAGGGGTTACTATGTTAAACATCCTAACCATATGGAGAGAAAAGATTTCCTCCCAAAACAAGTGAAAAACTGGAAGAGGGATACAAGAAAAGTTAATCTCTACAAGATAAAAAAGGGAAAAATATAAATGGGAATCTTGCAAATAAAGTCTGAGGTCAAATGTTATGATCACTAACCTTGCTAAGATTAACAAGTTTAACTTGGAGTGCAATTTCATCCCTTCTTCAACACTTCACAATTCAGAAAAACCACACAGATCTGGCTCTCTTCATATGAACCAATCTTGCCATTTACTAATTTGCATAACAATCTCTATTGTCAATCCATTTCAATGTTTTTCAATATTTTTTAATTTTTTTATTTTGGTTCAGGATTATTCCATTTTGAAAATGAAATGGTAGATTTGAATCTTCAATTTATTTTTGAAATATGCTTTTTCTTCCCTTTCAACTGAAATTTACTGTATTTCTCTTGACTTTCTCTGAACAAGACCAAAGATTGTTTATAAAACCAAGTAAATGATATAAACCAGAAAAGTGGGCCAACAATTATGTTTGATAGTTCTGCTTTTGCATTTTTGTGATATTCTTTGATAATCTGTAAAAGTGAAAGCGTTTTTTCAAGTATTTACTTTCTTTTGCAAACAAGCAAACTTTAAGCATTTTTCTTTTTTGCTTTCAGTTCATATTACTACAATTCCCTGCCATTTCTGCTTTTGAGTGGCATCCATTTTCCTTAACATTGGTAAGTTGACATTTTTAATTTTTTTGTTTTTCAATTAAGAATTCTTTATTAGTATTTTGTATTCTCTATATATATATAAAGTTGTAGCCTCTGTCTGTCTGTCTGTTTTTTATCGAACTCCACCTAGGGTTTTGGAGATAGACCCCATAACCATATATATTCTGAAACTAAATTCCTCACAATTATTCTGGGTGTGTTTGTTTATTGCTCACTTTTGTGTAAATATTCTTAGGAAAGTTAAGAATCAAGATCTTTTCTCCCACTGGATAGGGATTAAATAGCAAGGCAAACTGGGAGAAGGACAACTTAATTGAAAACCTAGCCACCTGAAATTTTACAAAGATGCTTAAACATTTGGTACAGATACTATGTTCATAAACAAAATAATAAGTTTCCACAACTATGGGTGAGATCTCACCAGAGATTATCCAGTTCTTTTGGGCCCAAGAAAGATGAGTGTAAGTTGTCAGAATGAGAGACAAAAACTAAATTGTCTGATTTAATGACATTTTTTATTTAAATTTGATTTCACCCCATGCAAAGCAGTAAAGCCACTAAGACACAAGGGGTTACTGGATTTGGAAGAATTCGGAACAGATAATGAGCAGGAAGAGAAAAGAATAATCGGGAGGACAGCACATAGCACTTGACATTGCATTTAAAGTTTTGTAGATTAAGTTGGCTGGAAAGCATGGAGCCAGAAGGGAGTTCCATAAGCGAGAAGTGCTAGAAAAGAAACTGTTAGCATAGAACTTACAGTTACATCTAGCCACATGTCAACCCTTGCTAAAACTAAGTTATTGTAAACAATCTAATGTGTTTGTGTGAATAGATGGATGGTAAAGAGTCAAATGTTGGCTAGAACCACAAAGAACAGCAGGTTGTGAGGAGCTATGATACATAAAAGATATCCTAGTGTGAATTAGAGTGGCTGAAGTGTGACCTATACTTTTGTCATGGCTACATATTACCTAAGAAAATATATATCATCAGTTGAGCCTAACTGTAGCATACTGCACTGAGTTGTCCTGTTGCCCCTGTTAGAAAAATGTGGAACAGGATGTTTTAAGTTTCAAATTGCATACAGACTATTATAGGTCCATCCAAGGAACTTATGAACTGTAATGTTTCAGATGAAAGGTAACTGATTTCAGTGAAAGCATAACGATATAAGATTAAGTTGGTAGACAGCATTTATGGCTCACACTCATGGCTAAATACTTTTCTGAAACTTTAAAAGTTTCACATCTGCTATCACAAGGGTCCAATGCACATAAGAAATTCTATAAGTAATACTGGGATAAAAAGTAATGCAAATAATTCCCACAAACAGATTCAGAGAAGAGAAGGAAATTTAGCCAAACCCACTGTGGAATTAGTTACAGGAAGATTAAATTACTATTCATATTGGAAAATGTTACTTAACTGCTACAGTCAAGTCTTTGGGTCAGTTTCTTTATTTTATGTTAGAGAAAGAATGAACTGACCCAGAGTTTAATAACAATTTATATCTGTTAGGGACAATGAGTAAACATTGTAGATTTTGTTTAAAAAGAGAAATAAAAAAAAAACTCAGATTTGTAAATATCAAAATAGGAATAATTTCAGCTTAGCATTTGGGGAAAAAAATTGCATATATCTAGAAATAAAAAAAGCTTTTTATAAATTTAATCTGAAGTATATATACTTTTATGCTCCTTCATTAAAAGGTTAGGTTGGTTGATTTTTATAGCAAGGAAAAATGGCTGCAATTAGCATGTGTTTATTGCAATGGAAATAGCAGACAAGTATTTGGTAGTGTCTCTCTACCACCCATGCAAATGACTTAAGTGTTGATCACAAGACAGAGTTCTTCAGTTTGTTTGTGGTACTTTTCAGGTGGTAAGCATAATCATAGTATGCTTTGGGTTAGTTTGAAGTTAATGTTCAGAATTGGCATTTTGTTGTGACTGAAGATTTAATCATCATCATAGTTTGAAGCTCATGTTTGCAGTGGTTCATTAAAAAACGGAGAATTTAATGTTGGAATCAGTCTTTTATTTAGAATTAAAGATAAGTCTTATAGAAAAAAAGATTCCGAGTTTTAATGTTAGGCTTTCTATATTACCATTACATTCTCCTCTTCATCAGTGGCATGTTTTATATATATATATATATATATATATATAATATATCACACATATAGTGCTAGTTAATAAAATAGTGCTCAATGTAATATAACAGAGCCATTAAATATAAATGTACATATTATCTCTCACCAGTAGCACAACTTGGATTTTCATATACAATGTGATCTATACTCATCATCTGAAGATCGCATTATGCATGAAACACCGAGTCATGCTACCAGTGAGGGATGATACTTGTGTATGTATGTATGTATGTATATATATATATATATATATATATATATATATATATATATATATATATATATTATATAAAAGAGTGTCCTGGGATAGAAAATTCAACTTATTTCCTGAGGATACCAAATTGGTGAAACTAGTAGCAGAAAGGTTGATTTTCTCATAAATTTTATATCTTAAATTGCTCTACATTTTCTTTTTTTAATTCATATTGAACACTTTTCATTGATTTAACCATTTTTTGACAACTATTACATTTTGATTTTGTAATTGAATTTGGTTCCTGCTATCAAGCATTTCAGCCCTATAATGTTGGAATTTTATTTACATTTGAAATTCTGTACTTGTAGTTATTTTTAGATTGTAAGAATTTTGTTTTTGGAGATAATAATGGTTCAGCGATAGAACTCTTAGTAATTAACCCACAGCTCATGGAGAGAATAGGTGATTTCATATTTTTCCCAACAGTATTTGCACATAAGTGAATATAATGAACTCAACAGGAATTGGAACTTGGCTCTACAATTAACAATTCCAAGCTATTAGCCATTACACCAACTGCATATCCAAGCTTACAGCACATGCTTATTCCAAGTGGTCACCCATGTCAGAACTGACCAAACTCAACATTGTTTAAGTGGTGATCATACGGGAACCAGTGTTCAACCTGATTTGACCATAAGCCTTAATGACTTTAGTGGCATGATCCATGCATAGATTCACAAGGAGACATATTTTAGTATTGATTAGTCAAAAATAAAAAAAAAACAAAAAAAAAAACCTTGAACAGAAGATAACTGTCATTGGTCATTTTGTATCAAGTATTCTTGCTATCAAGGTTTGTGTGCATGAGTGAGTCAGCAGCATCCGCACTAATAAATGAAAAAATATCAGACAAATATGGTTCATAGGATTTTAACCTTTAGCATTCTACATTATTCATAAGTATTACTTCTCCTTCTACTATATATGGTGTCCCCTCAAATGCAAACTACAGTAGCCTCGATTTGAAGATAATCTTGTTTTTGTTGCTGTAGCAGGATGTGACAACACAAATATGAAACATGAAATTTAAATATACTCTTGTTTGATTGTTAGTGTCCATTGCAATGGCAGGACAAAAGCTTTCCTTGGTGAATGAAGTTTGCCTAAAGAGTCTTTAAGATTAAAATTGTATTTCTACATAATAGTGAACACCAAAAGGGAAAAGTCAAGTTTTTTTGTTATTTTTTAAATTGAAGTTTTAAATAATTTACAGAAATTTCATTTATATGTCATTAGAATTTAATATTGTAGCTTTTATTTTATCATTGGAATATAACAGAAACTTTTCATAAAGTAGGTAACCTTAGTCTAAAAAAATAGTAACTTGCTTAAAAAATGGATTATTCAAAGTTGAGAATAATATGTTGCAAGGCTACAAATTTGAAACACCCAATGAGAATTGAATTTTATTGTCACAGTATTTGAGACTAGATTGTTAGCTAGTGATCCCCAGGAATACATTCAATAGGAATTTGATCTCTTGTTACTGTACCATTTGTAAACTCCTGTAAATATAATAAAATTGAACATTTTAAAGCTATTTGAATGTTATATGCTGGATAAAATGTCTACTGAAAATGAATTTGTCTCATTTAAGACAAAAGGCAGTGGTCATTGGAGAAGTAAAAGAAATTCCCTATTCTTTTCTGTTGCCTTTAAAAATCAGTTATTAGAATTTGTGGGCCATATGCTTTTGGGCACAAGTCCATTTTCCAACAGAGCAAACTCCAATTTTGGTAGAAGTTGACAATTTCATTATGCAAATTATGTCAGTTTGTAGCTCTTAAAACCTTGCGATCATAGTAGAGATAAGAAAAAAATCTTAAAGACTGACTAAAAATTAGGCAACATTCTATGCAATGAATGAAAATATCTATTAATAGATTTTAAAGTGATTAATTTCATTTATAACACATGTATGCTTACTCATTTACATTAGACTCAGTTGATGGATTGGGTCACATCAGTACACCACCTGCCAAAGATATGAATATACTTATCTCATTCCTTAGTTGGAGATTGAACCAGAAAGGGAAACAATACAAGATGTAACATTTTTTGTTTAGTAAGGGGAAGGAGTACTATAGACCATTCCTTAAACAAAACAAAAGGTTCATTGTATAACAACTAATAAAGCACAAGTATCTTACTTATTATAAAACGCAGGTTGTGTGTGTGTGTGTGTGTGTGTGTGTGTGTGTGTGTGTGTGTGTGTGTGTGTGTGTGTGTGTCTGTAACGTTTATATGTTGGATCGAATTTCCTACATTTTTTAGCCGATTTCAACGAAACTTCACAGGACTACATAAAATTACCTTGTGGTGGTTCTAACGGGGCCGAAAATGGGAAAAGCACAGTTGTTTTTTAAGAAAAACATTTTGAAAACATGATTAAGACACATTGTGAGAATGAAAGGGGAACAACTCACCCACGAAAATGTAAACAAAAGAGCATAGCATGATGAAAAAAGACGCCGAACTTGATTTAAAAACAAAATTTTATCTTCTAATGTTTATATTATTATTAAAGAGGAAAGATCAAAGTATTTTTGGTATTTTTTTTACATTTTTTAATCGTTCCTAGCACGTCTG